GATGTTTCGATGGTGGTACTGAAGAAAGAGACATTAAGCAATATGTAAATGAAAACATAAAAGCATTTAAAAGTTTTCATACTGATGAAGAACTTGAAAATAATCAATGTCAAATTATTTTCTTCTTTGATGAAGTTAATACAGCGCCTTGTCAATGGTTCATTAAAGATCTTGTCATTGATCGTTTCTTAGATGGTAAAAAAATACCAGATTACGTCAAATTCATTTGTGCAATGAATCCTAAAAGATTACTTCCTGATTGTGTTAAACAAAGATTACGAGGACTTGAACAAAAGCATCAAAGTGAGTTAAGTAATCTTGTTTATAAAGTTAGACAAATTCCTGAATCTTTTGTACCTTACATCTTTTCTGCTGATGCACCACGAACACTTCCAAAAGGAATCGAAAATGTGTCTAATTATGATGATTTAAGTGAATTTGAAAAAGTTTGTGAAAAAGTTATTGATCAGAAATTAGATGTTGAACCTCTTCCTTTATACAAGAAATTATCAACAGGAAAAATGATTCATTTTTCGGCTTCAAGTTCTTATTCTGTTTGCTTTGATTTTAAGTTCTTTTCACAATCTTCTGATTCTACAATGAAAATGATCTTCAAAGATGATACTTCGATTCGGACACAAAAAGTTCATTCATTCATATCTAGATTGAATGCTTATGCAGGTCGTCTTTTTATTAATAAAAAAGACGGAATTTATAAAGATAATAGTTTTATGAGTATTCGTGAATCTGAACGTTGTGCGAATTTAATGAGATGGTTTTATAAAAAAGGAATTTATGAGTTTTCAACAAGCAAAAATTGGAACTCAAAATTGACATCTTCTCAATTATTCAGAAAAAGTTTCATGTTGGCTTTTTCTGTAACTTACTGGCTTCGTTTATCTGATTATAAACTTGAGAATCAGAAAATTTGTGATAGAGACTCATTTATTAATAAAATCATTAAAAAATGGGAGGAATTGATTGTTACGCCAGAATTTAATTTCTTGTTTCCAATTCTTCAGCCACCAACGTTTGATGAATGGATTAATCAAACAATAAAACATGAACAACAAAAATACGCAGATCTTTTTGTGAGCGATGATGAAGGCCTTTCTAAAAATGACGCGCTTTGTGAGAATATTTGGGCAACTTACGTTAGTCTTTCTAATAATATTCCATTATGGATCATTGGAAGACCAGGAACATCCAAATCATTGGCTGTTAATATTGTTCTTGCTAAATTATTCACTGGTCGAACAATATCAAATATGCCAACGCTTGTTTATCAAACTTTCATGTGTTCTTCCGATTCTAGATCAGAAGCACTTATATCGCAAATGAGTAGAATTGCTGAAAAATCACTTCTTTTGCCAACAAAAGGTTCAATAACTGCACTTTTACTTGAAGAAATTGGTCATGCTGATCTTTCGCCTTATCTTCCTTTAAAGTGCTTGAATCATATTATCGATGATGGCTTTGAAATCGTTAATAATGGCGAGTCTGAATTCTTACCAATTACATTGATTGGCTTATCTAACTATAAAATGGACTCGGCTAAGTTAAATCGAGGAATTTTAATCATTAGAGATGAACTTTCCCCTGAACAAAAGAAGAAAACTGCTCTTGATATCTTTTCATCGACAGCTTTATCATTATTTAAAGCAAACAACAATCTTAGCAATAATGTTGATGATTTCATTAAGCGTTATCAAGGTAAAATAGAAAGTTTAACTGATTGTTATCATAATTCTAGTAAATCTATTCAATTCATGGGATTGCGTGATTTTTATGGAGTTATTAAATTGATAACAAGTGTTCTTTATGATGAAGGAGAAAACAACTTAAATCGAATTATTTATGCAATTAAAAGAAACTTTAGTGGTGATAAAACTTCATCTGAATTATTTAATTATTCAGTTCGAGTTTTTGATACTAAACAAACCAAATTAAAAGCAGATCCTTCATCACTTGATTTGATACGTGATAATTTAAAGGAAGATTGGAGTAAGTTAAAGAATCCTTTATCACGTCATATGCTATTAGTAACAGAAGGCAATTCTGCATTAAACTTATTAATATCTGAATTACAAATAAAAGATCGACTAATTTATGCAGACAACTTTTCTGGATTGCCTGATGATGAATGGATTTCTAATGATTTGAAGCAATTTGCTAAATCAATGACTTCTGGAGAAACAATTATATTCATAGGTAATCATCCTTGCTTTAATTGTCTTTATGATGTCTTTAATTTAAGATATGAAACTATTTACGGCGATAGTTTTGCTTTGATTTCTTTTGCTGGTGACTCTTTCCTAGTCAAAGTTCATCCTAAGTTTAAAGTAATAATCATTATGGAAGAGAATGAATACAAATCTCTTCCAGCTCCATTTTTAAATCGTTTTGAGAAAATGTTTTTGAATTATAATTTAATTCTTTCTCAAAACAAAAAAGATTTCTCTGAAAATTATGAAAATTACATTCGTGGTCTGTTTCCTGACTTTAAAGTTAATGTTTCTTTCCCTTCTTTGAAGAAAGCGCCTGAATATTACTTTGGTTGTTATAATCAGCATCACTTTAGAGCAATTACTTATTTCAATGACCAAATGAAGCTTAATAAAGAAGAAATGGATCAGCTTGTTTTCTTAAATTGTCAGCCTTCTAAAGCTGTTGTTGCATTAACGAAATACAAGCATAAACAAATTCAAATTCTTTCTGATATTTTAAATGAAACATCGTCACTCAAAACATCAATTTTGCATTTATTGTATTTTTACAATAAATTAAATGCTTCCAAATCATCTTTGACTGTGAAACTTTATGATTATTGGAAAGATGATTCTAATAAAATCCCTGGAATACAGGCAATGCTTCTTCTTCCTTTTGCTCAAGAAATTAAAAATGAATATTTCCAACCTTTCGGTGAATTGATTCATATTCAATTGTCTGAGAAAATTAACGAAGGTTTGATTTTAGAAAAAATTAAAAAAAGTCAAAAAAGAGTTCAAAACAAATTAAAAGCAACAATAATGTTGGTTGATGTTCAAAATTACGGCGAAAACCTTCAACAAAGAATCTTTCATTTGCAGGCTGTTTTTGAAAGCATTCGTAAAAATTTGTCTAAAATTGATGGTTATTCATTGCATACATTGATAACAATCGATATGACTGTCTGGAAAAATAATCTTAGTTTTGTACAGAGTGTTGATTGGCCTGTCATTTTCCTTGACACTTGTATTTCTTCCAATTTGAAGCCACTTGAAAGTTCATTGAAAACAATCGATCTTTCATCAATGATTTTCACGCCTTTAAGTAAAATTTTCCCTAAAACAACAGAAACAGAAACAGAAACGAAAAATAAAATTGATTTAATTGATTTGGATTCGTTTATTGATATTGTTAAAAATGATCTGTTGTTGATTTATACAAAAGAAAAAAGAGATCTTCTTTCTGCTTCTTTGTCAAATAAAACAATTTCGTCATTCATGATTGATTATTTGTTGACAATTATTAATCAAGTTGATTGTTTTAATATCTCTTTTGAATCATCAGAAACGATAGCAGAAAAGAAGAAGAAAAAGAAGAAAAATCAAGATGATGATGAAGAAGAAGAAGATGATGATGAAAATGAAGAAGAAGATGAAGATGAAGATCAAGATCAAGATGAAAATCCTTGGTTTTTGACTTTTTTGAATTCTCTTTATAATTCTCCTCCTAGTTTGATTGAATATTTGTCTGTGAAATTGTCAAGAGTCGTTGAAAATATTTATGCACTAATTACACAAACTATCCTTTCTTGTGCTGACGATTTTAAACCTGATTTGGAGAAAAAAGGTAACCTTGATGTTATCAATTTCATTTTCAATACTTATTTGTTCACACTGAAATTGGAAAATTCAATCATGATTGAAACTCCGCAGATGTATCCAATTGAATATCGTTACTTGAATCCAAATAAGGTTCCAATGTGGCAGATGTTCAAGTATATGTGGGAAATCGTGATTTATGATCCTGGAATGATCCTTAATCCTGATGATGATGAAGAGGAGGAAGAAGAAGAATGGAAAGAAGAGGAAGAAGATGAAGCTGAAAAGGAATTAACACCCGAAATAATAGAGAAATTCTTTAAAGATCAATTTCAATCTGAATCATTAATTAAAACTTATATAACACCAAAAGTTATTCCTGACTCATTTTATGCAGCTTATATTCTATTGATTTGTCCTGGAATTGTTGTAAATTCAATTGAACGTGATCGAGAGAAATTCACAAATTTAATTAATTGTATTAAAAAGATAATTCTTAATATTTACGGAAAGAAGTTGTCGTTGGCAAAAACAATGTTGATTTTGTTGGATCAAACTTTGAAATCATATTTAATTACTATATGTCAAAGTTATCTTTTCATCCCTCAAAGTGACCAAATTAAATATATTAAGTATAAAAATGATGAAAATGAAGAAAATAATGAAGAAATTGTTTTATGTATTCAGAATAATATTGCAAGTGTAGCTAATCAAATTATTCTTAACGTATTTTCTCACAAATTTAGAAATATAATTGAATTGAAGAATTTCTTTTCTTTTGCTTATCCTTTGATTCGTTCTTTATCTCTTGAATTCGGTTACATATTAGATAAGGAAAACTGGGATTTGCAATTGATGAATTCTTACTTAAATATCTTGAATATTTATAATTCATTGTTCTTGATGCTTCCACAAAATGTCACTTTGACTACTTCAATGTGGAGAAATCAAAGTTTGAAATTCGATATAAATAATCTTCCAAAATCCGCTACTGATATAATCAAACTTGTCGACGTTGTGCTAAATAGTATCAAAAAATCATCAAAAATTGATGATAAAGATATTAAAAAAATTTACAAATATATAGTCAGTGATTATTCAGTATATATGTCAATTGATGTTTTTCATGGATTTTGTGATCCAGAACTCGAACTTTAAATAAAAAATCTAGGTTTAATATAAACAAATATAGAAATCGACATCGTTCAATAGGTAGGACATGTGACTTTCAATCATGAAACTGGGGTTCAAATCCCCATGTCGATATTTTTTTTGAGGGTTTTTTTTTTTTCTTGGTTCAGAAAAATTTCAATATTGTTTTATTAAAATTTTGAATTCAATTTTCTATTTTGCTTAAAATGCTTTTTCTTTTGTTAGAATTATCATTAGCATCAATTTGTTTTAATAATGAAACAAAAGTATTTCATCTCAAGACAAAAAAATCATCTTATCAAATTTTAATCGGTCCATTAAATTATCTTATTCATCTATATTATGGTGAAAGTGTTGATGGCGATCTTAATCATATGGATCACCGCTTTCTTCGTGATTTTGATGGTCTTCCTTATGAAATCGGTTATTCTAGTATCTCATTTTCTCTTGATCAAGCTTTACAAGAATACCCAACATATGGTACCGGAGATTTCCGAATTCCTGCATTTTCAGCATATAATTCTAATGGAACAACGTCGGTTGTCCTTAAATATAAGAAACATTCAATTCAAGAAAAAGTTAAAAAGCCATTAATCCCTGGACTTCCACATTCGACATCTGAAAATGAAGCTGATCTCCTCGATATTGAATTGGTAGATGATTTCAATCACCTTTCTGTTCATCTTTATTATTCTGTATTCGAAGATAGAGATATAATCACGCGATGGACATCAATTACGAACAATAATGATATAAAAAGTAATAATATTATCACACTTACACGTGCAATGTCAGCATGCCTCGAATTTCATGAATCTAATTACGACCTCATCACGCTTTACGGAGCAGCAGTTGCAGAAAGATATGTTGCCCGTAATCCTCTTTTAAGAGGCAGAATTACTATTGATTCACTCAGAGGAGCTTCTTCACATCAGCACAACCCAGTTGCATTATTAGTAGATAAAAATACAGATGAAAAGAGTGGAAACGCCATTGGCGTTTCTTTAATTTATTCAGGAAATTTTGCAATTGAAGCCGAAGTTGATCAGAATGAGCAAACAAGATTAAACATTGGAATTAATCCAAAAAATTTCCGCTTTTTGGTACATCCAAACGAAACTTTTTACACGCCAGAAGTTGTTATGGTATTTAGTGACAACGGATTAGGTGAAATATCAAGAAAGATGCATCGGTTTGTCAAAGATAACATCATGCAAAGTGAATGGAAGAATAAAAAACGTCCAATCTTGATTAATTCATGGGAAGCAGCTTATTTCACATTTGATGATGATCAATTAATTGAAATGGCAAAAGATGCATCTAAGTTAGGTATTGAGATGTTCGTTCTTGATGATGGATGGTTCGGTCATAGAGATAATGATAACTCATCTTTGGGTGATTGGACCGTAAATAGAAACAAGATTAAAAAAGGGCTTGGTAATTTGGCTAAAGAAGTTAATAATTTAGGCATGATGTTCGGTTTATGGTTTGAGCCTGAGATGATTTCAGAAGACTCAGATCTTTTCCGTTCTCATCCAGAATTTGCAATGAGAATACCAGGTAGAGACCCTGTTCTTGGCCGACGACAGCTTGTTCTAGATTTCACCAATCCTGATGTCGTTGATAATATTTACAGCCAAATGACTAATATCTTGGATTCTGCAAATATTTCTTATATAAAATGGGATATGAATAGACATATAACGGATCTTTTTACTTTCACCTTGTCATCTGAACAGCAAGGTGAAATTTTTCACAGATATATACTAAATGTATATGGGCTTCTTGATAGGTTAAGAAAAAGATATCCGCATTTATTAATCGAAGGTTGTAGTGGTGGTGGTGGAAGATTCGATCTGGGTATGCTTTATTATTCTCCTCAATTTTGGGCATCTGATGATACTGATCCAATTGAACGTCTAAAGATTCAATTCGGAACTTCAATGATATATCCCCCGAACTCAATGGGTGCTCATGTTTCTGTATCGCCAAATCATCAAACCGGCCGAGTGACTCCTTTTGAAACTAGAGCAATTGTTGCAATGAGTGGAACTTACGGCTATGAACTTGACACAAGGAAATTAAGTGATGAAGATCGTAATAATATTATAAAGCAGAATGCATATTTCCATAAGTTTTACGACTTGGTGGCATATGGTGATTTTTATCGTCTTCTTTCACCCTTTGATAACCACTTTTTCTGTGCGTGGATGTTTGTAAATGATGATAAATCGAAAGCATTGTTGAACGTAGTTAAAATAATGACAAGAGTTGACGTACCATATATTGTATTAAAGCTTGATGGACTTGACTCATCAAAATTATATTCGATTAATGGCCTTTATGATGGTCGATCCTTTTATGGATCTGATTTAATGAAAGCTGGAATCATCATTTCTTCTACTCAAAGTGATTACACTGCTAACCAATATGAGATTAACGAAGTCAAAAATTAAAATGAGTAGTTTTTGATGATTTATTAGTTATATTATTAAAAATAATTTATATTAATATTAGGTAAATTTTATCATAATTATTTATAAGTTTGTGACTATACGTAGTCATGCTTTGTGATTATCCTTATTTAAGATTATTCTATTCTTTAATTGCAAAAAAAGCAAAAGGTTTTCATTGGGGGTTGTTTTTGTTTCTTTATTTAATTTGATTCTGAAAAAGTTCAAATTTGTACGATTTTTTTTGATGCCAACAGTCCCAATATCTCGAGTTTTATATTTTACAGCGATAATAATTTTTTTCGAAGTTTTTAAAGTTTTAAACAGAGAGCCAATTACAGAAGCAATAATGAAAATTTTATTTTTTTTATGTCTACTATTAACATTTTACAAAATTGTCAACATAATGGCCTTATTTATTTTTGCATATGAAATTCTTGAATGTGCATCATGGATTTTTACATATTCAGGGTTCAATGTTCAAGTATTATTAGCAATTGATTTAAATTGGTGTTTTGAACATCATTTTTCACTCTTTTTTGCATTTTCTAGTTTGGTTATAATTCTTGTTATAGTGACGCATTATCCGCTTTGTGATTCCAAATTTATACAAATTAATTGGCATCGTTATAGTATCTTTATTATTATGACTCTTTTATATTTATTTGGTTTTGTAACTACTTTTAAGAATTATTTGTATCCATATGAGCAAATGGAAACCTTGTCTCCCGCAGTTCAGAAACTCTTTTTCAATAATCTCAAGCACTTTTTATTTGATAAGATTGAAGTCAAAAAATATCAAAATGAAGAAAGGAAGAATCTAATTATCCTTGAAATTGAATCACTTGAGCAACAAATATTAGGTTCTTTCAATAATTTGTTTCCAAATTCAATGCCATTCCTCTCAAATCTATCCAAATATGGTACCTTTGTTGAGAGAGTTGAAACTCAACCTTATACTACATGGTCAGTTGCTTCACTTTTTGCAGCGCAATGTAATATGCCTCTTTTAATGTCTGGCAAATTGATGTTCAATGCTGCATCTTTTCACCTTCTTAAGCAGCATCGATGTATTGGTGATTATCTTAGTTCGCAAGGCTACAAATTATTCTCTTTCCTTTGTAATGTATTTATTGCTAATTTTAAGAAACACCTTAAAATGCATCATTGGGTTGTCGAAGACCTCAAGGAGCATAAGTTCAACCTTGATTATGATTTGTTTCAATACATTGGTGACACAATCATTCCTAATTTAACTAAAAAAGAGAATCAACCTTTTGTTCTCCATATTGCAAATGCAGATACTCATCCTTTCCCAAATTATATCGTTGATGAGAGATGTGTGAAGCATGTCCCAAAGAAATTTAATAAAATGTTGAAAAGTTTCAATTGTTTTGATTATATTATTGGCCAATTCCTTAAAAAAGTTGAAGCATCTGGAATTTTAAATAATACTGAAGTTATTATTTATGGCGATCATGTCCTAATGTCAAAAGAATGGAAATCTGCAAATATCGTTGATCCAAGATATATTGTATTTATGCTTCCCTATCATAATGAAATGAAAAGAAATGTGATAACTAAGAAATCTTCTTTGTATGATATGGCTCCAACGATAATGAATCTTCTTGGAATAAGTGAATATTCACCTCACTTCCCTTTTGGTGAATCAATTTTTTCCAGCAAAATAGGAATCATACCTGATAACAGGCACTTTAGATTCATCTATGACTTTTTCAGTGATAAAATGAATTGGGAAAAAGAAGTTAATTGCAAAGGAGAGAAAGGATTTTGTAAGCAAACATGAAACTATTATTATTATTTGTTGTTGTTGTTATTTTTAATATAATAAAAAACTTACCCATGTTGAAATGAGTAATAAAATTATTTAATGAGATAGTAGAAAGATAAAAAACCATTAAATTTTTTATTTTAATTTTATTCTTCAACTTAAATATTAAAATGAAATCAAATTATTTTCTAGCGGCAAACAAGTATCGAGCATTTTGAGAAACAAGAGGTTGAAGGATTGGTGCATTGGCCAGTCCATTTACTAATATGTTTGTTCCTTGTTGGGATAATTCGCCAACAAACCTAGTTTGGCCAGGCATAGCAAATGAAACAAAGGTCTTTCCATTATTATGGCCAATTACATAAACTCTTCTGGTATTGAGTGTAGCATCATCTGCAATATCAGCATATTCAAGATTGACTTGGAATTCAATTTCAAATTGGTTGTAATAAGCAGTGAATTCGTTCTGAGAAATTTCACCATCTTCAGTGAATGATACTTCAACTGGAATTCTTCCTGATGCAAAAACTGTTCCATAGTTAGTTCTTAAAGCATATTCAAGAACTTGTTTGGCATTTTGTGGTGGAATAGCACTTCTTGGATCAACATATATATCAAATTCAACTTCACAGCTTTGATCTTCTTCAAGGACATCAGGGAATCCATTATCTTCGCCAAGGCTAAAGCCAAGAATGTTCTTATTAACAACAAATGCAAAGTCAGAAATTGGGCTTGCGCATCGGTTGACAACCTTTAAGTAGAACTTAGAATAATCTTGTGAAAGATCAAAGAAGACATCGATAAAGTCAACATCATCCATCAATTGGAGTTGTTCCCATTGTCTATCTTCTGCATCGTCGGCATTGATT